GTTTTAACGTGGAAACAGTAGAATATAAGAACATTTGTTTCACAGTATGGGATGCTGGTGGTCAAGATAAAATTAGGCCTCTCTGGAGGCATTCCTTCCAAAACACCCAGGGTCTTATTTTTGTGGTAGATAGTAATGATCGTGAAAGAATTCGGGAAGGAGCTGAAGAGCTGCAGAAAATGCTTCAGGAAGATGAGTTGCGAGATGCAGTGTTGCTGCTTTTTGCGAACAAACAGGATTTGCCAAATGCTATGGCCATCAGTGAAATGTCAGATAAATTAGGTCTTCAGTCTCTTCGTAACAGAACATGGTATCTTCAAGCCCCTTGTGCTACGCAAGGAACTGGTCTGTATGAGGGACTTGACTGGCTGTCAAATGAGCTTTCAAAACGTTAAATGAAACTGGATATCTAACCAAGGACACATTTGATAGAATTGGTCTAGGCTTGTCACAACAAAATTAGTTTGCATCTTGGTTATTAAACAGTATCTGGGACTGGTTCGGGCAGAATATTACAGCGTTCAAACTTATTTTGTTGCCAATTATTGTTGACCAAGTATAATATTGCTATTTAGCAATATGCTTGGTTTTAAAGAAATTCTCCTTAACTTGGGAAAAAAAGTGTCCTCTTTTAATTTTAATTCCAAGCCTAAATGCCTGGACATAGCTATTGTGACACCTTTAAATAAATTCGTTTTGAATGTTTTTTGAGCCCACGAGAAATAATGTTTTAAAGTTATCCCCTTGCTACTTTACTGATACCTTTATCATTCCTGGGACAGTCTGCTGATTTAAAAAATGTAGCATTCCATTTGTATTTATTTTTCTCCCTTGCCAAAAAGATCTTCTAATACTGCTTGTACCAGCCAGGGAAATGCTCCAAAACACTATTCAGATCTCTTGCACTGAGGAACTTATATTTCCCCCCCTTATTGAATCCTGGCTTTCATCAGCCAAGCTTACCTTAGTGTGGTTTGGATTTGATAGCTAATTAGGTTCTGTGCTGGTTGCAAAGAGTTCATATTGAGATGATTTTTAATACCCAGCAGATTGTCTTCCTTTATATTGTATCTTTTTTATGTTGCATGTTGCTTTTTGGTATCAGCCTCTTTGCCCAGTATATGATAGTTCTGCTGCTGTTTTGTTTATCGGTGAACATATCTTCATTATAAGTTTTTGGAAAACTCATCAAAATCAGTAAGTTTTCTTCTTAACCCATTTGGAATTATTCCTAATAAAATGATTTAAAAAAATGGCCATGTAATAATACATCTCAAATACTGCTGAGCAGATAGAATATTGAATATTTGAACCAAGTGCCCAGGATAATTTTCAAAGTTCTCTAGCTGTGTGATAGCGTGCCAAAAGAGAGATGAGTTCTTTGATAAGCCAGAGCCACTGAGAAAAGAGCCCTATAATTTGAAACTAGAAACCACTGCCATCGGTTATTGAGAGTTACGAAAGAAAAGTTGCTTTCTAACCAGCTCAGCCCTCAGACCCTTATAAATAAATAACAAGTTTACACATTTCACCAAGAGGTAAACAGAGAGTCTTTGAAGAATGCATGCAAAAAAGTGTTGGTTGCACTCTATTTATTACCAAGAAGATATATTCTACCTTTGTCAGCAAGTATATATGGGAGTTGTTGCACTTCTGATCATAATAACCTTGCATGACAAGGAGTGGGACAGACATACATCACAGTTAGCTGGGTACTGCTCTCACATACTGGTACTGTTGTATGATCCACGCTATTCGTTATTAATAGTACCCTTTCACTTTTAAACATTCCCTGGTATGGAAAGTAAGTGTTATGGTCACTCTACTTATGGGGGTTAGTAATCATGTATCAATATAAGGAATGTTAATTAGAGGAAAGACGAATCTTTGCTCGCTCTCACTGGCTCTCACTCTCCCTATATATAGCAGAAATAATCATCCCTTTGCTATCAAAACATCTGCAAATAGATTATAAAATTAGGGGGTTTATTGGCCATTGAAAGACTTCATCTCTTCTATTTTCCCTTCAGAAAAAGTATTTCTTAATTCTTATTCTTTCTTCCAATGTATGTTAAAGTGCACATTTTCTGAGTTAAAATAGCCAACTGGTTCTTGATCCTGGCAAAAGTACAAGTATAGCAAGTGCCTTGAGGGGGAGGGGGACAGGAGCAAGTTGGGCAGCGAAGGAGGGAGGGAGGAAGGCGGGAAAGGTGGAAACCATCAGCAAAGTCATCCAATGCATTTCATTATTGTATCAAGAAGCTTCTTTCTTGGGGCACCTGGGTGGCTCATTCATTAAGCGTCTGCCTTCAGCTCAGGTCATGATCCCAGGGTCCTGGGATCGAGCCCCGCATCCGGCTCCCTGCTCGGTGGGAAGCCTGCTTCTCCCTCTCCCACTCCCCCAGCTTGTGTTCCTGCTCTCGCTATCTCTCTCTGTCAAATAAATAAAATCTTAAAAAATAAAAATAAAAAGCTTCTCTCTTGTGATGAATGATAAAATAATGAATATCCATCAGATAATCCAAAAGAGGAAAGACATTGTCCAAAATGTGTTTATTTACTCAATGACTACTCATGCTCATTTAGCAAGTGCCTCGCTCTTTCCTGGCTTTATTAAGTTTTATCCTGCTTTATTAAACTTAATATGCGGCAAGTGGACTTTTCCTTTTAGAGTCAGGACTCAGATGCTGTCCTCCTCATCCCCACATGTACACTGTGAAGCCTTCAATCGAAACTCCCAGAACCACAAGTGACGATGGCTGTCGCCATGGTGCCTCGTATGGAAATCGTCTCGCAGCTCTGTGTCTTTATGTGTAGCTAGGAACAACATCCACTTACACAAGTTGAAATTTTATGAGTCACACATTGTCCTCCAAGCCATGAATTTTATGTGATTTACAGCTTTGGATTTTAAGCTAAAGGTTTTACGCTCTGTTTTATTGGTTAAACATATTTCCCCCGTTAATCTACATTATGGAGAACATCCTCCTAAGTAGAGCTGCTACTCTAGCTTTCCCTTTTTATTTCCCCTCATTTGCTTGTATTTATAAACAAAAGTAGGATAGAGAAGTAGCAAATGGCAGCGTGGCTGGCATGTCAGAGTGACTAGGAAATGCCAGACCCTGCAGACGTTGCTAGGAAGCTGCTGCTTCTCTCGCCACAAATTAGCCTTAGTCACAGCCCATCAGATAAACAGCCCGGCACGGGATGACTAGGGGATTCTGAGCTCTTTACAGGATTTGCTGACGACCACTTTCCTACTTTCATTTCCTTCAGTTTGATCAAAAAGCATGTATTTCTTTTACCATCTTATCTTGCCGTGTAGTTCTACAGTACACTGCTAAGAAACTGGCGGGGTGGTTTCAGTCAGGGGTGCAAATTCATCCCACTTTTCCTCATTTCCACCTCTCTCGTAGAAGGGGATTTTCTCAGAATCCATGACTGAGAGCTTTTTTGTTTCTTCTTTTTTTTTTCCCTGTAGCTCTCACCCAGAAAAGGTGTCTGTAGTTGAGTCAAAATTCTACTTCAGCCCTCGTGCTGCTACCGATGTGGAGCTGGTGAGTCATCTCAGTTGCTCTCCCCTACTCGCCTCCTTTTAGTGATGGTGATGATGGGGATTCCTGTACATTCTACCTCAAGAGCTCATTTCCAGAGTCAAGTAAGAGATCATAGAGAAAACAAGGGTGTTGAAAAAAACATAGTAGTACAAAAATGGAAGCTACTATGATAAAACTTTTGGTTTTTTGTTGTAGTTTTTGCCCCCTAAGCTATTATTACACTGTTCAGTGGCATTTTATGCAGTGATCAAAGGAGCACTGAAAATGTGGTAAGTGTGAGTGAGGAGCCGACTCGTTAATTTTACTTAATTTTAATTAATCTGCATCTAAATGAGCACATCTAGCTAGTGGTTAACATATCCGCACGGCTCCAGGGCACTAAATACTTTTATTAGTTATTACTTCTAAGTCTTTGTATTTAGTTTTTAAAGATTTTATTTTTTATTATTTATTTATTTAGATTGCACGTGTGAGTAGGGGGAGGGGCAGAGGAAGAGAAAGAATCTCCAGCAGACTCCATGCTGAGCATAAGCCCAACGCGCAAAGCTTGATCTCACAACCCTGAGATCATGATCCTGAGATCATGATTCTGAGCCAAAACCATGAATTGACCACCTAACTGAGCCACCCAGGCAACCCCTCCAAGACTGTTTTTAAACACTTGCAAATAATCAGCCACTAATCTGATAAGGCAGGTTAGTCTAGAGGAAATAAAAGTTAATGACCTCTAAATTTCGAGCCTTCTCTGGGTAGGCTCTCTTAAAAATAAATATTATTTTTAAGATATCTCAGCTTAAGAATGTGCCTTGTTAATGACCATATTGTTAATAACTATATTTTACAACTATATTGTTAATAGAACCTCTCTTTATACCTGACTGACATTATGAGAATATATATACATATTATTGATTTATTTGTATAGCATATTCTGTCAGGTTCACCGATTTTATTGTGGTACAGTTCATGAGGGAGTCAGAAAACTTAGTATAAAGCCTTGACTAAGACACTTTTCTTCATCAATTTACCCTTTTCCTCAAACACCTTCAATGACTTCCTGTAAGCAATAGAATAAAATCCCAAGTCTTCAGCATAAATTTCAAAATTACCTCCTCTCCTACATATTTCATCTTCTATCGCCCCCTAAAACTCACAATAAGCAATTCATCGACTTCTCTGCTTTTTCACATTCTACAGATAATTATCGACAATCTACTGTACAAGACACTTTGCGGGGCGCCTGGGTGGCTCAGTCATTAAGCGTCTGCCTTCGGCTCAGGTCATGATCCCAGAGTCCTGGGATCG